CGTCGAGATCATTCCTATTTTAAATAGAAGAACGCGAACATTCGGTTTTATGTTGTTTGAAAGATTTGAATCGACATAGCCATTTGAGAAAACTGAAGAAGAAGTATTTTGATCATAACCTTTGATTGTTAGTACTTCAAGTCATGCTGAGACATATGGTTATGTCCGTTTACTTCCTTTGGTGAAAAAAGTTGTCTCTTATCTTTGTTATATTAAGCTGTTACAAAATCAAGTTGATAACCTGGTACAGCTTTTACTAGGCAAGGTGTCTTTCACAACAGACTCTTTGTTATCTTTATGGATGAAGAATTGAGTTTGGCTTGTGTTGATTCATTGATTGAATGATTGATTGCTTTGTGTCATACTAGCATATTTACTTATCAATTGACAAATAATCGCACTTGAATTTGTAAAATTGACTGATTCCAGCATCTGAGGAATAGTAGCAGGACAATTCTATTTAAAAAGATGATTTAAGAATTCGCTTTGGACAGGTTGTTGATTTGTGAGTCAAAGACAAGTTTTAACCATTGGAAAAGATACACATACCAGGTAAATGATTCAAATAGGAGTAGTTTCATTGTGCATTCTCAAGTTGAGTACGTACGGACTGGATGGGACAGTGCTAATAGAATGAAATGGGTTGTTTCAACCACACTGGGTTGTCCGTCTATTATGAGAGTCTTTTAGCTCATCAAGATCTTTTATCGTGACACTATAAAACTCTCTGTCCCATAAAAAGAGTCGTTATACCCTAGACTTGGGTTCATATAGTATTTATATATCCTCGATAGTCTATTTAATACCGATTGCTTCACGATTGTATAGATTTATTGGAAGAATTTACCCAAGTAGACTTGGCGGACGAAATACCAACGAGTATTAGTATTCTTTCATCTAAATACACAGAGGACAATCTAGTTGATAGTTTGCTTGACAAGAATCATAATGGAAGAAAATCCCCACATTCCTTCCTTCATAGTTGTAAATTACTTTCAATATTACCTTGGTAGATCGAAACTCCTTTGAATCCATTGTTTCCAGAATTGAACCAACGTTGAATCATATTGGTATACTGTAAAATGAAGATTTTGTTGCTTCCATTGGGTCTGATTCTGCATAGTATGTTGAGCACCAATATACACACTTTTTACTTTTTTCTGCTAATGGGAAAGGTGGGCAATTTGAAAGGAGTGTCCGATNGTAAATGGGCCCGCGCAATTTTGATTCGAAAATTGCCATCATGGATGCGGGAAAGAATGGGTAAAATTGGAAAAAGGAGAGAGTGGGGAAATTGCGATGGGGGAAAATGGGTGGGGAAAGGGTGTGAGGAAATTGAAGAGGGGCCAACCCAAAGGCGATTGTGTTGATTTGGAAATTGCCATTATGGATGCGGGGAAGAATGGGTAAATTGGAAATGGGGCATTTGAAATTAAGGACAGTGTGTGTAAAAATCAGTAAAGCCATTTGAAACAGTAAAAGATCATTCCAAGAAAGTTAACTTTGATTTCCACACTGAAAACAAAATAAAGAGCCAATTCTTTAAAGACACATTCTATGCAAAAGAAGAGAAGAATGACAAAAAATGGTTATTTTTTTACTCTTTTCAAAAGTACTGGTTTTGAATAACCATAACAAAAAAATACGTTTCAATTCAACAAAAAAAACAGTCTGTAACATGTTTAGGTTCCACCTCAATATTGTTTGAAATGACTCCTTCAAATGGACAAGTACCCTTGAGAGTAACTCGTTTGGAAAAACACAAGTGATATTGAGTTGAGTAGCCAGTTGAATGATATCATCGTTTGGTATACCAAGACATTAAACAAAGCTACAAGTAGTAAAAGTCAAAGAAAAGTTGTCCTTTTCGAAGCTCAAGTCTTTACGAGACCTTGAGACAAAGACACCCAAGAAACGCAAGAAAAGAACCCTTGAAAACTTTTTGTTTACCTGTTGAAGCATAACCATACTTGAAGGATTGGAGTACAGTCTTATCCATAGCCAAGAACTGTGTTCTAGTCGTCAACGACAAGGGCTTGTTAATGTCTGTACGAAAAAGTGCAGCAACTACAGCCTTGGAGATAGGTTTGGTTTTACTAGATTGTCTTAAGGTGATACCTATAAAAGTATGTTTCACTCTCCAAACACTGCCCCTACATCGGGACAACATTCCCCTACTATTCCCTCAAATTATCCATACAATAAGCGTATTGTACCCCTACATTTGTGAGACATTTCCTTTGAACAAGTCTCCACGGAATCACCTTTACATATTCCGAAACTCCTTGATATCTCCTTTTCTAAACTCAAATATCAATTCATGATGTTGGTTGACCAATCTTAAGTACCAGATCCAAGAAATCACTTGTAATGAAAAAAGTGAGTTCGCTTTACGAAGCCTTTTCTTCTTTGCAACTATGTCATGGAAAATCCTTTATCAAATACAATAGAAGCTTCAATAACGTCTTTAAATACCAACTCTCTGTAAATTTGTCAATTTTTGTTGGTTGCTTTTTGGATAAGACAACAAGACTTGACATTGGTTTCTCAGTAGGCTGCTATTTCTGTAGAATTCCCTGCCTTGTTGATTCTTACCCATCATCAAGTTAAACGACAGTCTTTTCCCATGTTTACCCAAAACCTTGATGACATTGCTTGCCCATTCTCTCCTATAGTTTTAGAGAGTGTTGTCATCCATATCGGAGTCTCGTTACCAATTGATTGTGTCGAGTATGTTGAACGCAATACAGAC